GCAAAACTCGCTTTGTGTGGACTTTCCCGCTCAAGCAAAAGAGTGACGTGCTGGAGGAGTTTGAGAAGTGGCTGACGAAGGTGGAGAGGCAGCGTGAGCCGTCAAAGGTGAAGATGATACGTTCTGACCGAGGAGGAGAATTCTTGGGCAAAGACTTCACCAAGTTCCTCGACAAGCAAGGCATTGTCCACGACTTGACATGCCCGTACACTCCGCAGCAGAATGGGATGGCTGAACGGGAGATGCGGACGGTCGTCGAAGCGGTGCGGACGATGCTCCTGCACATGAACGTGCAACACAACTGGTGGCATCTTGCCCTTCGCCAGGCTGTGTGGGTGCGCAACTGCATCGAACATGCTTCCTTGCCCACAGGCATAACACCGTTTGAGCTGATGTACAAGACGAAGCCGGACCTCACCATGGCTCGCGTATGGGGATGCATGGTCCAATTCATGGTTCCGCAGCATCAGCGCGGTGGGAAGCTTGCCCCAAAGGCCCGCTGGGGTCTTCACCTTGGTGTTTCGCCTGCAAGCAAAGGCTGGGAAGTGCTGGATCTTGTTGACAATCGCATCGTCACCACCGTCGAGGTGGTCTTTTACAAAACGCAGTCGCTGGATGATTGGAAGGCACAGCGTGCACCACCGTCCGCGGACAATCGTGTCCCTGCGACAGCGTCCTCACCTGACCTTCTCGTCCCCGAGATTGACGATCTACTTGACGCTCCGGCTCCAGCTTCTGCACCACCTCATGTTCCCACATCCATCCCCACCTCCACCCTTCCACCTGTCTACCCCCGTGTGGTCCCTGTGGTCCCTCCGCCTGCACCATCATCACCTGCCGTTGCACCGTCTGCGGACGGGCCCTCTCGACCCCCTGCCAACTCCCCGTCCAAGTCGACCGACGACGATGAGGGGAGAAATGTCGCGCCACATGCTGTGCCGCGCGTTGGCATCATCGGCGGTCGGACCTGCAGTTGATCCGGAGGCTGGCAAGCTTGGTACGCATGAGCAGGCAGGTGAGCACGTGGGAGGGGAGCAGGCGGCAGGGGAGCTGGTGGCAGGGGAGCTGGTGACAGGGGAGCAGGTGACAAGGGAGCTGCCAAGCAACACACTGTCGCGCGAATCTGCGTCCGCCGAAGAAAGTACTCCGGCGACAACCTGCCCCGACGCTCCACTCGCGCAACCAAAGGTGTGCTACCGTATCGTTACCGAAATGCCTGCCCTGCATTTGCCAGCACGTTTCTCGATGATGCGCATGCGGACGTTGCGCTTCCGGAGCTTGATCCTGATACGCATGCAGACCCTGAACGGCGTTGGGACATCGCGACGATGACCGTCAAGGAAGCATTGGCAAGCTGGAAGGGCAAGGCGGTGAAGGCCGCCATGGACGAGGAGATTCGTAGTCTCTGAGCTCGTGGAGAGGCCGCGCGGCGTGAATGTCATGAAGAACCGATGGGTGCTGACGACGAAGTATCACGTCGACGACACAGTCGCCCGGGAGAAGGCGCGCTTGGTCGTGAAAGGCTTCACGCAGGTGTACGGCGCTGACTACGAGGAGACGTACGCGCCGGTCGGGAGCTACGTCACGCAGCGGATCTTCCTCACCATCGCTGCCGTCCTCGACCGGCACCTGATGCAGCTCGACATGAAGAATGCATTCCTGCAGAGCAAGCTCGACCAAGTGCTCTACATGTTCCAGCTGGACTACTACGACGACGGGACCGGCCGCGTATGCAAGTTGCTGAAGAGCTTGTACGGTCTGAAGTAGTCACCGTTGCTGTGGTATTCGGCGCTCGACGCAGTGCTGTCCGGCGCCGGGTGGAGCAAGAGTCCGGTCGACGAGGCATTGTACTTCAAGGTTGGCGACGACGGAGTGGCGTGCTGGGTGCTCGTCTATGTCGACGACCTTCTCGCCGCGAGCAGCAGCACCGCGATGCTGAAGGAGCTGCTGGAGGCCGCCTTTGAGCTGCGTGAGATCAGCCCGGTCGAGAAGTACCTCGGGCTGGAGATCGTGCGTGACCGACCTGCGCGGAAGCTGTGGCTTCATCAGCAGGCCTACGTCGACAAGCTGCGCAGGCGTTTCGTCGACGAGGAGCAGACCGGGCGAGTCCCGAAGACACCGGTCTCCGTCAACGCCTACGCCGAACTGACGCTTGACAATGAAGAGTTTCAGGCGCGTGAGGAAGAAGAATATCGTCAGAAAGTGGGCTCCCTGCAGTTCGCTGCAACCACTACTCGCCCGGACATTGCTTTCGCATGCAGTAAGCTGGGCTCTGGGCTGACCGTGCGCAGCGATCAGCATTGGCGGGAGTTGGACCGCTGCATCGAGTATCTGGTGGATACGCACGACATGGCTCTGGAGTTTGGTGGTGGAGAAGATTCTTTGCGTCTGGTTGGCTATGCGGATGCTGATGACGCTGGTTACAAGCAGAAGCGCAGCAGCACGAACGGCTACGTCTTCGTCTTCAGCGGCGCAGCTGTCTCGTGGACAAGTCAGAGGATCAAGTGTGTGACACTTTCCTCGACGGAGTCTAAGTATGTCGCCGCGACTGAGGCCGGCAAGGAGGCACGTCGCTTGCGCTTCCTTCTGGCAGAGTTCCAGCTCCTTGATCCTGGGACGCCAACCATCCTCCACGTGGACAACTCCTCTGCAATCACGGTTGCGGAAGGTCTGGGACTCAAGGGCAATCTTAAGCACATGGAGCGTCGCTACATGTGGCTTCAGCAGATGGTGAAGCGCTAGAAGCTTGCGCTGCAGTACATTCCGACGAACGAGAATCCGACGAATTTCCTCACAAAGGCGCTGCACTTCTCCGCGTTCAACAAGTGTTCCGTCGCAGTCGGACAAGTTGACCTTGCGGACGTCGACAAGGACGACGTGCAGAAGTAGGTGCCATGTCCTTCAACATGACTGGTGCGGTGAGATATTGCGCGACGATGAACGCGCTGACGAAGTTCATTTCGTCACCCTGTACTCTATGATAGCTAGTTTCCTTTCGCATAGTGCTAACCTCCTTTGTGCCCATGCACTAGCAGGGCAGTGGAGTGTTGAGAAAAGCCTTGCAGGTGCATGGGCGAAAGTAGGGGCTTCCGCAAAAGCTGGACCAAGGAGTCCGCACGAGGTGACGAAGTACCCCTGCACAGGATGTACCGAGGTAACTGTGCACGAGGTACTGTGGGGTCCGTAGGTGCAGCAGCAATATCTCGTGCACATGTGCAGTGGGCGGAGCTCGTGCAGGAGTTCGCGGAAGTTCATCTGCGCAGGGTCGCGTCTGACCCTGCGCACCCTCGCGAATGCACATTCGAATTTCGGAGAGAAATTCGATGTGCGCAAATTTCGACCAATGGGAGCGCAGGGAATTTCGACCAATCAAAATCTGACGGAAATTGTACCCGTCAGGGGAAATCGAACCAGTAACCAAAATGAACCTGCTACACGTTTTTGTAACAGCAAAAACGTACACACCTATGTCAGGTGTACAACCTGGGTAACTACTTAGGTGAAAAACACATGGGCCGTTTTTTCACCTGCCATTGCTGAGTTGGAATGGCACATGCTTGGTAGTTAGCTAAATGTTCCTCTTGGAACGTTCCTGCAGGGTTCCTTGTTCTAGTATATTGGTTCACTTGTTGTTGTACTATACTTGTTCTTTCTTGTTCAATCATTTCCTTAGTGAAACCTCTGCTTGGATTCAACTAAGTCAGCAACTCTGTCACGAGTACTAGCAAGCAGAATTCTACCCACGCAGCCCTAAGCCTGCCAGCTCTCCCATTGTCTAGAATTCTCCGCAGGGGTGACCAAGACGGTGGTGCCAGAGGAGAGACGGGTGCGTGAGAATGCGACACGAACAAGACGCAGCTAACTAACCCGACACAACCACCTGTGCAGACTCAGTGGTCAGTGTGTACAGGTCAGACCCGGGTCTCTGATGAACGTGGCGAGGTGGGCGCTAGTCCGTGAGTCCGTACAGATCGCCACAAGCTCACCACCAGGAGTAGTCACAGTGACAAACTGGTCATGGAGGACAGCGTTATTCACCAAGTTCGTAGTGAACGAGGGGAGGTGGAGACCTGCAAGCGAGCCGGAAGGGGCTGCTGGACACGGGAGACTGGTGAAGGCACGTGCTACGACTGGGCCCCCAGAGGGGTCAGCCAGAGTGATCGGGACATGTGAAGTGAGTGGTGTGACTGTGGTGCAGTCGCGGAAGAAGCAGCGAATGGCGCCTGGGTCAAGCGTGAAGGTGTGCAAAGCCTCCGCAGGAGCTGCACCTGTGTTAGCAGGCTCACAAGCACCTAGACTAGTAGCCTCTACACTACAAGGGATGCGTCGCTGAGAAACCCACTCCCGAAGCTGCTGCGGTGAGAGGGTCTCCGGCTGACCCTGCTGCTGCTGCTGACCACCCCCAGTTCCACCGCCTCCACTAGTGGCACCACCTACGGGAGCAGACGTACAGGTACCTACACTCGCCTCCTCGACCAGCGGCTGCACCTCCCCTAATAGCGGAGGCCGCTGTTGTAGTGGCCGGGTGGCAGGAGAGAGGGAGGAGTAGTGTCTAACAACAGCGTCGAACAAAGTCTGGGCTGACATCACCTGTCGAAAGTGGTCCCTCTGGTCGACTGGCAGGAGAGCTCGGACGGCACGCTGTGTGACAGCGTTGCGCTCCGTCCACTGTCTGTAGGCAAGGCTGTCCGCCCGGTACCGTCTCTGCACATCCTCGCCAGTGTTAGCAGTAGGCTCAGTGGGAATCGTGGGGGGCGGAAGTGACCCCGACGTGTGCTCGAGTAGGGAGACGCTATCTCTAATGAAACGCCGGAGATGCACGCGCAGACACATAAGCCACAACCCTAACCTGTACGGGCGTCCGTCGGCGTCAACCGCTAAGACCGGCGGCGTGGCCATGACGGGCAGTGGCAGTCAGCAGCAGCGGCGCAAGGGCTGCAGTGGCAGCCGTAGCGGTAGCGGGAGCCTGTAGCGACCGCTGAGGGCGGCAGCTGTTGTAGCTAGGGCTGTGCACGTGCGGCTAGGGCAGCGCGCGGGCAGCAGGGCGTGCGGGGCGCGGGGCACCAGGGTGCGCAGGGCGCGTGGACAGCAGGGCGCGCTGGCAGCAGGGCGCGCTGGCAACAGGGCGCGCAGGCGCGTGGGCAGCAGGGCGCGCTGGCAGCAGGGCGCACGGGCTGCAGGGCGCACGCGGGCTGCAGGGCGCGCGGGCAGCGGGGCGCAGGGTAGCAGAGCGCGCTGGCCGCCGAGGCGCGCACGGGCAGCAGGGCGCACGCGAGCAGTAGGCGACGCGGGCAGCAGAGGCGCGCGCGGGCAGTAGGCGACGCAGGCAGCAGGCGCGCAGACTGCAGGGCGAACGCGGGGCGCAGGGCAGCAGAGCGCGCTGGCAGCCAATGCGCGCGCGGGCAGCAGGGCGCACGCGAGCAGCAGGCGACGCAGGCAGCAGAGGCGCGCGCGGGCAGCGGGCGACGCAAGTAGCAGGCGCGCGGGCTGCAGGGCACGCAAGCTGCAGGGTGCGCGTGCTGCAGGGCGCGCGGGCAGCAGGGCGCACGCGGGGCGCAGGGCAGCAGAGCGCGCTGGCAGCAGAGTGCACGTGCGGGCAGCAGGGCGCACGAGGGCAGCAGGCGACGCGGGCTGCAGGGCGCGAGACAGGGCAGGTGCGAACGCGTGGGGCAGGGCGGCTTTAGCGGGCGGCCGGGTCGCGATCGGTAGGGGCAGGGAAGAAAAACGGGCAGGGTAGAACGAACGGTGGGCCCTAAATAAATTCAGTCCCGGGGACCTACGTGCTTTGATACCATGTCAGAATCATGTGGCAGGAATGAGTGCACAAGCATGAATGAGAAGTAGAAGTAGTGCTAACCCTAATGTGTTGTACTCAGTGTAGGCTACCCCACTAGAGCCTAAACAACATAAAAGCTATTTTGACACAAAGCTGCCATGAAGCACTACGGTATAAGGCAACTCAGGGCCATAAACGTCCACTATGGCCTCCTCGCCGCTGACGCCTTGCTGCGCTTGAGCTCATTCTGTCCATACGACTCCACCAACTTCAGTGCCTGGAGGCCGCCACGCAAGGAATGACGAAACGGAGGAGAGTTTGTGCATAGGGGAATGTTCAACTGGAAAAGCGGTTCTAGCCAGCATGCACGAAGAATGATCATGGAAAGTGTTCACGGGCACGATGGTGGTCCGAGAGGGGAAGCGATAATATTACTATGAAATTTCTGAGGTGGGAGAGTTTAGAACCGGTTTGCGTCATCATTGTGCACAAAAAAAAAAAAAAAAAAAACATGCGCAATTGAACACATGATTGATGCCATTGGTGTGGTTGTAGCGGAGTCAGACGAGACAGTTGACAATCAAGGTTAAATATTAGTACATAGAGAATGGAACCAGGGGAGAGATTAGTACGTACATAGAGAATGGAACGGGGGGAGAGGCACGGTGTATAACGTACAATGTAAGAGCACATACTTACAGGGGAGAAAGAGGTACAACTGGGATAGGCGGGAATTGAAGAAGGGTTGTTTTCTCACCTGGTCATTGCGTCACAGGAGCCATGTGGTTACATGAAGCAGCACAGCAAAGCCAGCAAAGCACCTGACAGCCATGGGGCCACCACAGGCACTGTCAAAGGGGGGACACGGACGGGCAATGGGGGATTTGTGAAGGGGTGACATAAGGAGTCATAAGGATTCATAAGCCATGAGGTCATAAGAATTCACTCATACGTGGTTGTGATTGCTATGACATGAAAAGGAAAGGCATTTCAGGCAGCTCACCAATGGTGGCGGCAACTTTGGGAAGGCCGCATGTCGAGCCGCTGCCTGATTCAATAGCAGAATAGCCCGCATCACAGCGGCACGTGAAGTTGGGGGGAGAGGCGGGTGCAGACAGCACACACACACCATGGCCGTCACACGGGCCGTTGGCAGTGATGCTGCAGATTGCCTGGCAGGCTGCTGTACTGCGCTGGGTGGGATTGGAAGAACACTCTGTGTCTGGGCTGAGCGCCAGGCAGTTGCCCGCCACACTCCCCCTCACCTCCTTGCCTTCCCCTGCCACCGAGTAATCCTGCAGGCCAGATGTATCACTTTTGCACTTTCCGGCAATTGCATCAAAGGTGCTGGCACGACCCAGGTTGCTCAGCCTGCTGGCCTCAGTGGGGCAGACCCGGCTGCCAGCAACCAAGAGCAGAGCATCGCCGGAGAAGAAGTTGTGAGCCAAGTTGATGAGGGCGTTCCCATCCGCCACCATGCCCTTGAAGTCGAGGCTGATGCGCCCATACAGGCTGTTGTGGCTCACATCGCTGTGGGAGGCACACGCAGGGCGGAACACGGTGTCGCAGAGTTAGACACTAAACGGTACACTGAATGCACACATTTCGTGCGCTGTCCTTATTGAGCGTGCAAGCTGATGGATTGATGCATGGTATTGGGAAATGAGTAGAGTAGCTGGGTTGGGTTGGCTCACATCTGGTTGACACACTTGTCAAAGAGGCAGTCTGGCAGGGGCCCGTAGAGAGAGTTGTTGCTTATCAGCCTGCAAAAGGTGAGAACCCTCCAAATACAAGTTGGTTTGTGAGAACCTTCAAAACCCTGCACAAAGTACACCATCTTTCACACCACTAGTCACGTCCATATGAAATGGTATAGGAAAAAAGATGTGGCACCTTGCCATGGTTCCTTCACATTCCAGAAACTTGTATACAAGCATGCTTTCAAATAGCCGTGGTGTACAGTTCACCTGGCTGGAAAATTCCTGAAGAAGGCTTTGTGAACGTAGTCCTCACATTTCCTACGTCAGAAATCCCACTCTTGCATGAAAGCTACTCACACGCGCCACAACCACTCATACACGCCACAACCACTCACACACGCCACAACCACTCACACACGCCATAGCAAGGGAGGCGAGCAGAGGGCAGATGGGAGGGGGCCGTCGATGCTGTTGTTGTCCAGCCAGCTGGGGGAGGCACGCACGCACAGCAGTGGCAGCAGCAAGGCGCCGGGAGTGGCATGAGGAGTTGAAGGGTCGTTAGGGGATGGCACAAGTGACGCTATCAGTTTGTTCTGAACATGATCTGAAATGCTACAGTTGTTGTGGTAACATTCACAGTAAGCACTTGGCTCGTGTAACCTGTATTGGCTCTACAAAGCAATATATTCAAGGAATGTAAAGGGAAAAGGGAGACAGGGCCTCACAGCTTCTCGAGCTTCTGCAATTGACTGATGGCAGCTGGCAGGCTGCCAGTCAGATGGTTGTTGGCCATGTAGCTGCGGGGTGGTGACAGGCAGGCAGGCAGGGGTACAGGGAGACATCTTGGGGCGTCTCATAACAAAACTCGATCTTGAGACGTCTCAAATCTCGGCTGGCAGACTACCGGTGAGATGGTTGCTGGCCATGTAGCTGCGGGGTGGTGGCAGGCAGGCAGGGAGACATTTCAACGAGGCATGGCATACGGCATGGCGCAGGAAAGTGCCATGGGGCAGTGGTGGGAAGAGTTGATGCGCTCTGGAGGCTTACAGGGATTTGAGATTGGTCATGGTGAACATGGCGGATGGGATGGTGCATGTCAGCTGGTTGTCGTCGAGAATGCTGCAGAGCGTGGGGAGGGAGGTGTGGTGCACATTGAGGCATTGCTGGAAACACATGGGCTGTGAGAGCAGAGACTGCCAGTGCTAGTGTTCCTCTACAACTTTGCGTGTGCAGATGGCATTCTGACACGACAACCCACATTGCTCACTTCGGAATGGTTTTCTGGGGGTGTGTTGAAGGGCATGTGCTAAATGGCATGTGCTGAAGGGCATGTGCTGAATGGCATGTGCTGAAGGGCATGTGCTGAAGGGCATGTGCTGAAGGGCATGTGCTGAAGGTGCCAAAGAAAGAAGGCTCACAGGGCTTCGAGGGTGGTGAGGGTGGAGATGGAATTGGGAATAGACCCGGAGAAGTTGTTGCGGCTGAGATCTCTGAGACACAACTCACACGATGCAGCAACGGACCCGAGAGTGACTAGAAGCTCAACTTCTAGTCACTTTTGAGAATTCTCAAACGGGTGCAGTGCACGTCAATGGTGTCGTGCTGGCAGCGCGATTGAGCAAGCGAGTCGAGAGTGGAAAAGGTGAAAGTGTAAGCCGAGGGAGAGACCACGGTAAAGGCTTACAGCTTTAGAAAGCTGACGTTCCAGCGGGAGAGGTCTGGCAAGGAGCCTGCGAAACCGTTTCCTGCGAGGTTACTGCACAGTGCAAGAGCAGCAAATGAAGCTTCCAGGTGCATGGAAGTTAGGCACACAAGATAAAGCATTTTGCAGCACGCACACTGGTTGAAATGCTTACAGAGTGTCAAGTGAAGAAGAGGCAGTGAGAGTTTCTGGAAGGGAGACGCTTGTGTTGGCTACAACCCTGTGGCAGGAGGGAGGCGACAAAGAGGGAGGGTGGTTCCACGCAGCTGTTAGAAACGGAAAGAAGCTGCCTACAAACATGCATGCATGGTGGACCGCTAACAGACACAACGCTTGGAAAGGTGATGGGGAGTTGATGACTGAGGAGATGCAGGAGGCCAGATGCAAAGCAAGCAGCAGGCAAGCAGATTCCATTCATTTCACTCCGCATGCGTTTGCAAGGCATACCATCGTCAAATTGGTAATCCTTTTTGTGCAAATGTTCAGATCCTTCAGAAACATAGGTTGAAGCTGTGGCATGGTGGTGGATGGGATGGAAGAGAAGGATCCGGAAACGTGTACAGGACTGGAGCGGCGAAGCTGCTTACAGTGAGTACAGCGTGGGTAGTTGAAACAGACCGGAGGGGATACTTCCACGGAAATTGTTGCCACTAAGATTACTGGGGGCAACAGTGTCAAGATTCGAGGTGGGATGGAGAGTGATAGTGCTCTCTTCTTCCCTGTGCAACGGGAGTCTCAATGTGAATGCACTGTTTGGATCCTGCTTGAAAAGGAATTGTAGGGACGCACGGACAGACTTGCTGACGGCTCCTCACCCCAACCCAATGCCTTGCGTGGCGAATCTTCTTCGCTCGCTCGTGTCCCACCCACTTCTTTTCAGCCCCATTGCACTTCCAACGACAGCCCCTCATTTTGCAAGCTAGTGAACCCACAGCACTACCACCTGAGGTGAGCCTAAAAGCGCTTGCGGTGAACGAGCCACTCACATGAGCCTCAGCTCCACCAGATTGGTCAATTCATGGGGGATGGTCCCGGTGAATCTGTTATTGCCCAAATTCCTGCCATTGCATGGCGTATGCGATCAAAACATAGACAAGTAAGAGTCTTACTGTAAGACATTTCAAGAAGGTTCTCGAAGAAAGATGCATCACGATCTGATGGAAATGGCAGCAACAGCTCCAAGGTGGCGGGAAACTGCTAGAATACCTCTATTCTATTGATCTTGAATACGCTAGTTGGCTTGAGAAAGGTTGGTACCCAAATTCAAATTGCGTGTACAACTGGAGGTTGCCCCAGTTAGGGTTTGGCACCAACCAACCTTAGCCAAAAACATTGGCCCCCAAAAACTCAAATTGGGTTGGCGGATTGTTAGGGGACCAGAATAATTGGAGGCCCCAATGATTACTCCGACCGAACTTATTGGTGGGGACCAATTATGTTGACCAAGCTTCCAACTAGGCATGAGCAAAGGACAAACCTGAACAGGATCTTCTTGAGCATGCACGAACACGTTCGCTTCGAGTCGAACCTTTTTTTTGCATACGAGGTGTTTGATATTCGAGTTTGGAAGTCGAACATCGCCCCGAACCGAACAGAACGTGTTCGTTTCGGTTCATCTACCCCCTGTTTTCTAGTTTTCGAAAGGGGAGAAGCTAGGGGGTTTAGGGAATTGACAAATTAACGTGCCTTTCAAATTAGCATAAAAATGTTTGAACCATTTTTTTTTTCGCAAAGTCAAATATTAGATGTTCGGCGTGGACAGGTGTTCTTACACGAACCGAACCGAACATGTTTGTCCCAAGCGTGCACATGTTCAGGCTGAACAAATTCGGGCAAAAAAAAAAAAAAGCCTTGTTCGGTCACCGAACAGGTGTTTGGGTTTTTGCTCATGCCTACTCCTCCCAACCAATCCCCCTCTGCAAGCTCATCTATGTACACCCCTTGCTTCCAATCTTAGGTCTCTATAATTCACATTCCCTTCTCATCTTTCACAGATTTTTAACAACAACGTGCTTTAGTTTCCAGTGAAGTGGCTGTTGCGGGGCAATATGCACAAGTGGGCTCCGTACAGGAGGGCAAGGCTCTTGAGGTGCGTACAGGAGGGCAAGGCTCTTGAGGTGCAGGACAAAATTGGGGAAGGTTCCCGTGAGGTCGTTGTCCCCTAAATCCCTGAATCATAGCGAGAGGTGGGAAGTGATGAAAAAGCATCCGTGCAAAAGAGGGTATGGAAACATGCCGCACATTCAGGCACGCATTATCTTTGAGACGTTTCAAAAGCACTCACGCATACGTTTACAAACATGTGGGTGCAAAACGATGGTCTGTGGCTGTTGCATTCATGCACACCACTTGCACTGAATGTATGATTGGGCTCAACGAGGTGGGATTGTGCACGACTGGGGGCATGTCAACATGTGATGATGCGTTCATGCACTCATCATGTGTTTATGCACTCATCATGCGTTCATGTCATGCACTCATCATGCGTTCATGTCATGCACTCATCATGCGTTCATGTCATGCACTCATCGTGCGTTCATGCACTCGTCATGCGTTCATGCACTCATCATGCGTTCATGCACTCATGATGCGTTCATGCACTCATCATGCGTTCATGCACTCATCATGCGTTCATGCACTCGTCATGCGTTCATGCACTCGTCATGCGTTCATGCACTCGTCATGCGTTCATGCACTCATCATGCGTTCATGCACTCATCATGCGTTCATGCACTCATCGTGCGTTCATGCACTCATCGTGCGTTCATGCACTCATCGTGCGTTCATGCACTCATCGTGCTTTCGTGCACTCATCGTGCGTTCGTGCACTCATCGTGCGTTCGTGCAATCATCATGCGTTCGTGCACACATCATGCGTTCATGCACTCCTCATGCGTTCATGCACTCATCATGCGTTCATGCACTCATCATGCGTTCATGTCATGCACTCATCATGCGTTCATGCAGTCATCATGCGTTCATGTCATGCACTCATCATGCGTTCATGCACTCATCATGCGTTCATGTCATGCACTCATCATGCGTTCATGTCATGCACGCATCATGCGTTCATGTCATGCACTCATCATGCGTTCATGCACTCATCGTGCGTTCATGCACTCATCGTGCGTTCATCCACTCATCGTGCGTTCATGCACTCATTGTGCGTTCATGCACTCATCATGCGTTCATGCACTCATCGTGCGTTCGTGCACTCATCATGCGTTCATGCACTCATCGTGCGTTCGTGCACTCATCATGCGTTCATGCACTCATCATGTGATCACACAGTGCACGATGAAAAGGATGCATCCTGAAGTGAGTATAAAGAAGGCCCCATATTTATGCAGGTGCGCTGGGAATAGAGGCAGCTGCAACTCCATAGACTGTTGCTGCATCCCACCCAGGCTAGTGCAAAGAATGGATATTGAACTGCACTGATAAGGTGAGAGATGGGTAGAGCAGATTCACAAGGAAGAAAGGCCCTTGACTGCTGTGAAGGTCGCTGGAACCACCCCAGAGAAGTTGTTTCTAGATAAAGATCTGCACAACCAGCCAGAAACTAAGAATGTGGCTCAGATGTTGGGCAGGCAGGCAGAGTGGAAGAAATAAAACAGGGGAAAAGGAATGTGAAAGCATTAAGGAGGCTGTTGAGAAGGCGAAGGGAGGAGGAGGACACTCACATGTCTGTGAGCCATGTCATCTGAGCCACCACTTCAAGGCCCGAGCTGAGGCTGTTGTTCGTGATGTCACTGTCAAGTTGTTCAGACAGACACGGCATGCGATGGGCACAACAAAGCACGCTAAATTTGTCATCATTTCAAAGTGGCCCTAAGCGGTGCTTTTGTTTGGTTAAAGAGGAAACAAAAAAGAATGCCGTTCATGTTTTTCATTTTCTTTTTTTTTTCGAATCAGGGGCCATCTGATGGAACGGACTGAACTGAAGTTGCAGTCTGGAGGTGTTTTTTAGCCCTTCCTCACATGTTTCCCTTCATTGGCCATTCAAAACAGATATATAACGCATATTTTCATTTCTTTATGAGGAAAAGGGGTGTGACGGTTCGGAAGGGTGAGAATCAACGGTCGTATTCGGCCGTATTCAACAAGAAAAGCTTTTGTAATCAACCGTTGACACGACCTGCTGAACCGTTTACTACAGATGGATAATCGGTAGCATGTGAGGTGTGGCGATGCAGCCGATTCCGCTCTTGTCATTTCCTTAGACAATGGATTCTCAGTTTGAGAGCACAGCAGTTTAGTACCGCGGGGACACGGGGAGCTAAATGCGCGGAGCACCACGTGGGAAGAGACGTACAGATAACTCAAGGCAGTGAGCCTAGTGAAGGCGTTAGGGATGCCTCCTGTGAAGAAATTGTTGGAGAGTTGACTGCAGTCAGAATGGCCCAACAGGGGACATTGCACGGAGAGGAGGAAGGAAAAGAAGCGGCGTAGGTAATGAAGAATGGGCCAAGC